GTTCTGCAGATGCTAATTCCTTGCTCGTGTTTCCTTTAAACTCTCTTTTTAAAAAATCTCGGTCCAAACAGCCAACTGGACATATGGACATGTTTGTTCGTATCTCTGAAAGTTCGTAAGTCGAATGTTCGTAAGTAAATGAGTGCCTGCATAAACATAATCAAGTAAAGTTTAACACGTAGGCTTTCGCGACCAATATTATTCATAATAAAGGTTTTTGGGTTAGATCGCGTTTATTTATAAACTGACTAACCTCTATGGGGAGGATACTTTTCTTAAAACCAGGAAATTGGAGAAGCTTCGCTTTAAGCAGATGCAATTGATATCTTCACTGGCGTTCCTCAAAAGGTGCAGAGATTCAAAGGTAATACCAAACGCAGTTAAAATAACACATCACATAAAGTCTTCTAAAGCTAATCAAATACTACACAAAGCTAGCGAATTATTATTAATAGAGAGAATACAGCACAATAGGAGTGAATTATCTTACATTTCGGAATCGCTAAAGCAGTTACACTTAGATATAAGCAATAGTGTATCTATGCATTATTGGAATATAATCGATAACATAACACAACAATCGGCTGATAATGTGTTTACACTAACAAAAACTAACCAAATTAATAAATTTTCTAGACTACATAATAAACAAATCCCTACTGAAAACCAAAAATTTAAAAACAAAACTGTACTGAACTTGACTAACACTGTATTAACCGGTGACATGGTCTCTATCCTTTCTAAAGGCCTTAACTTTGCCGTTACCCCACGCACAATTCCAGTGGATGAGATAATTTCTGAGGTAGAATCAGCAGTTAGACTCCTTCCACATAATGAGGCAGAGATGACTAGACATGAGGTTGCTAAAATAATTGAGAATAGAAAAGTTCCAAAAGTAAATATTAGCTCTAACGAGGCAAAAGCCTTAAGAGAGCTGAGTGTAAACAAGGATATCCAAATCCTAGCAGCTGATAAAGGCCGCACTACTGTAGTGATGTCACGAGCCGATTATGATAATAAAATTTGAAATTTACTAGAGGAAAGTACCTACATTAAAATTAAACGAGATCCAACTAATACTTTAGAACGTAAGACCACTGCAATAATTGCAAATTCATTAATCCCTAAAAATGAGCAATACCAAATTAAGCCAAGGGCCTCAAAACCACCTAGACTCTATGGGCTACCAAAGATTCATAAAATCGGCATCCCATTACGACCCATAGTCAGTACAATTGGCTCTGCCACATATCAGTGTCAGATGGTGAGAGTCTAGTGAGAGAGATTAAACACGTTAAAGACGCACTACGACAGAATGGCTACAATAATGCTCAAATTAACAGAGCACTGAATGCCAAATCACGATCGCAAAGCAATACTGCTGAAAGCGACCAGATTGTTAAAACAACAAAAATTCCATATATCTCAGGAGCAACTGACAAATTAGCCCGTGTTTTGCAAAAGCAAAACATTACAGTAAGATTTGGTACAGTACACAAAATAAAAAAACTAGTATCTTGCACTAAAGACGCATCACCTAAACTATCAACAGAAGGTGTATATCGGATTAATTGTTTATGTGGCAGCTGCTACATTGGGCAGACGGGACGTAACATCAGTGTAAGACTAAAATAACATCAAAGAAATATTAAATTATCTCAAACACAACTGTCGGCAGTGGCAGAACATGCTTGTCAACAAGGACACTCAATTGATTTTGACAATGTTGCAGTGGTGTGTAAAACTAATTATTACTGGCAAAGACTAATTAGAGAATCCATTGAAATTGAGAGGAACAAGAATAACTTTAATCGCTCTGACAGCTACAGGCTTAGTGCGGCCTGGAAGCGTATTATTAAATAATACACATTACATTTTGATTTAAAGAATTACTAATCTACAACTCATTACTAATCATAACCAATGACTGATTACTAATCGATTATATAATTACAATACCCCCCCCCCTCCGCCTCTAATCACTGCACCTGATATGAGTTAAGTGATGACGTCACCCTGCTGCTCTATATAAAACCGGGAGCAAGCGAGGGCTTTACAATTCTGGCGAATTGCCCGATGATGCTGGATGTATTTACCAGCGAAACGTCGTACTCAAACTGTAAATGTTGTGCATTCACTCTTCAACACACTGGTGGGCTAAAGTAGTGAATTAGTTGTCTTTTGTCAACGTGACACTTTTTTTTTGCTGATTGGCCGTGTCGGGTGGTGGAGGGTTACGACACATTTATAAATAAACGCGATCTAACCCAAAAACCTTTATTATTAATAATCAAGTATAGTTTTTCAGGAGCACAGCCATAGCGCCCTCTAGTGGTGTCCCTAGGCCACGGGTGTCATACATGTATTACATTTGTGCCCTTACCAAATGACTCGTACATGCCAAGAGCCGCATGGTGAGAAATCAATGTAGCCTCAACACTAACCCACAGTCACGGTGGAGTCTCTTTACCTTCAATTTATTTGTTTATCCAGGTGATAACTCAAGAGACTAGGGTAGTCGAATTTGCAAGAGTGACCTGGGACTTAAGTCTGCCAGTATCAGGGTATGATGATTGCCATGTATAATCCCAAATGAGTAATGTTCGAGTAATTTTTGAATTAGTAAAATTTGAACCCTGATGCTGGCACACAATGCCCTTCTTTTGCGAATAACCTCCGGTTGATCTTTGACGTCCTCAGCGAAGCAGATGAGGCATGCTATTATGGTTATTGTACCCACAGTAATAATGAGGGCAGCTACTGGATTTGAAGTCAATGCGTATCCTAGATAATTATATGGGGGTTAATAATATGTTATGGCTATTATACTTCTTTTCCCAAGAAAGCCTAACGGAGTCTCAAGACTTTTTTCAGGAGGGTCAAGTCAAGTTTTCACAGTAGGCGGTGATGTTGCTTGGTGTAATTCCAATTGAGTAATTTGCAGGTTATGTTTCATAATTAGGATGTTTTGGCCAATAGCAGTAACATTGTGTGTAGTTTTTTCAGCCGATTAAGTAAATCATAATTTTATTTATATGCATGAGGTGACAGAAACTTCCATGTTGCTGTTGACCACTGTTGTTTTTGTATTGAAATAATTAGCACCCAATTGTGTGTTATTTGGGTGTTGTAACGTCCCAAGCTTGCCTAAGATACTTATGTATTGCAGCGCTAACAATACACGTAATACACAGGCATAATTATATGTGTGTCATCCTTTAGGCACTCAATAAAAATGTGGTGGAAAAATGTCTACTCGTATATATTAATAAGACTATATTAAGGTCCATGACCTCAAATTACGCCTTAAAGATCCTGTATTATATCTGTGGTGTGAGCCATGCAAGGAGGGTGTGACTGGATAGGTTTTGGAAAATCTTTTTTACTTTTGAGATCCATTAAGCCTTTCTCGTCATTTCCTGTGACACGTGTCTTTAAAATTGAACAGTTGAAGTGCTTCTAAGTACAATTTATTAAATAACTGAATGTGCAGTTTAGCCCATGCCCTCTTCAGACTGCGTGCTACGTATCCATGGTAGTGCCAGTTCTGCTGCCACACTGAAAGAAGCCTACATGTGCAGCAATCTTACCACAGAATATCATCATCGAATTATAAATGCCCAATCCACTGCTGGATGAATGCCTCCCCAAGCCACCGCCACCTCTCATGTATTTTTAGATGAAAACAATCCACCCAGCACCTTCACACGAATTTATTTCATCACTCCATCTCCTCGGTGTACATCCTCCTCGGACGCATTCCATTCCTTGGCTGCTATTCCGTAATCATTCTTAACCGCTGGCCACCATCCCTTCCAGAAACGTGTCCTGTCTGTGCCCACGGTATGTTAACTTGACAGTTTGATTTACGTCATTAACCTGAGTATGTTCTTTCTGCAGATGGCGATTATCGCAATGGTCATTTGTGCAGTGTGCACGCTCAGTCAGGCTGCACAATGAAGGGCGGTGTGGGGAAGAGGCAGCTAAGTTTGTCAGGCTAATAAGAGTTTCCAGGGCGACGGCAGGAGCGCTACCGTTTACATTACACAGGGCACGCGTCTGCACTTCATGTGGCCCACGGGGCCTCTAAACTTCTGGCTGACCCCTGGCCCCCCCAGCTGGAGAGATGTAAAACCGCACGGCTCAGGCGCGATGTGAGCCGCAGTTTGCCACAAAGCCCTCTCGATCACGCTTGCCACAAAACCTATTGTGTGTACGTCACGCTCTAATGTGGCATTTTATATGTATCACAGCATGGACCGATTAATTGTTGTGAATTTTATTGTTTGCTGTTGATGAATGGTAATGTGGAGTAAAATTTAGTGACGTAGGTATACAAGAACCAAAGGGAATAACGTGTCAATGCTGTAAACAAGATCATCATGGCATTGATTGAGAACGTTATTTCTGCACTGATATTGAATAAATAACACTTCGTTTTGAGTATATGCAGTAGTAGAATTGTTGCATGCTTGTATACTGCAAAGAAAAATTAATTGGAAAATATTTTTGTTTTTAATGTCGCATTGAAGACACATCAACTGCTATGATAAGCAGATGTAAGCACATCAAGCCTGACTGGGCTAGAAGTAATGGTCATGGAAAAGATTATCAAATGGAGTTACAAGAGAAATGCTATAACCGGCAGGATATTGTTCACCTTGGAGTTAGATATTAGGCTTAGAGGATTAGGGTTAGAGTTAAGATTAAGGTTAAGGTCAAGGTTAGCACAATGGCTCAGGTGCCAAAAAAATCGCTTTACAGACAGGCAATGATTTCTCCATGCCCATTACTCAGTTTTTAACAGTGGTCACACAAGTGTTTTGCAATAAGCCTCAGCACATTTTTTTGAAAGGTAATTTAATAACTGTGACAAATGCCCAAAGCCACAAGGGTGTAGTAGCAGTGCTAAATGCACAAAATTAAAATAAACTGTCCTGTCCTATGAATCCACTGCGCTGGTGGGGTTGGGGGTAAGAGGGTGGTTTTGAGGTGCATACCGTCGCGGTGGTTCAGCTTCGCGAAGGTCGGGCTGTGGCTCGCTGACAGCATGGAGGAGGCACGGAACGAGTCGGGGGCGAGCCCTCCCACAAGCGGCCTGTTGCACGACTCTGCAATGACGTACGGCAAAACAACAGCATGTCAGGGAAGCGGCCGGCTCGTCCCGCACCGCGCGACGTTGCAGGGCGAGTTGCATCGCCAGGTGAAGAGGGCTGATGAAGAGAAAGTGCTCGCGTGCGGTCAATAGAGTAATAATGGGCCGTCCGTTGTGCACGGGGCTGATTTGCCAATGAGGTGGTTATTGTCACCACACATATCCTTCACAATGACCACGACCGCTTTACTCCAGTGGAGATCCCTTCTTCACGCCGCTAATCCTGCACCTATTCTGTTAATAAGGCCAAGTCCCTCCCCCATTGTATGCTGCGTAACAAATGTCCAGTGTGCACACCTCTCATCAGCAGCATTTTTTTGTCAATGTGTGAATCAGATGCGAAAGACTGACATTGTAATAGTAAAAAAAAGAGCAAATCGAGGTATAAGCAGGTCTGGAACAAACTTCTAATAATTTATGAAGACTTTTTGGTTCAAAATTAAAACCTTCAGCTCAAAAGCATGCTTCGGCAAGATCAGATTTAAGTCCCTTAAAACTATTTGAATGTGAGGAAAAGAAATCACAAAGGGTTTAGCAAATTCCCCCAGTCAGGTGGGGAATACGGAGTTAATGTGAATTCTGCTTGAGTAGCCCCACTCCGTCAATTAAATGTTTTATTCGCACCTGGTGCGGGGACTTTTGAAAACCCCACCATAACAAAATGGATTCCCCCCCCCCCCCCACGTTCACCCCAACCACCTACCTCTTGTGGTGCAGGAGGATATGTGTTTTGGAAAATTTAAAGCAAATATTTGTAACATGGTGCATATGTAGTGAGTCCAACTGAGTCGCAGACGTTAACTCTGAATCAACACTATTTATTCAACACAACAGCACCAATATAACATAACCTACGCTCGGGTTTCGAATGCCCATCCAGCCACGCTACGGCAGAACTAGACATGGTTCGCTATCCCGGTCCGGGCCACAAGCTGGGTCTTGGATCGCGTGGCTAGAGGCTTCTTCTCCCCGACGTGGATCTTCGAACACCAACACTTGAAGAACCCCGAGCTCCTCATGGAGCTCTCGTTATATGCTCCCGGGCTGGGGCTGGCTCCGCCCATAGCCCCGCCCACCTTCCAGGCTCCTCGAGCTCCTTCTCGAATGTTCCCGAGAGCTCTCCGGGACCACGTGACCGCCCCTCGGCCCCCATCCACCGGTGGCCCCCCTCCAGTATCGTCCGGTCACGTGACAACAGGTCATCCAGAATATCATACCCCAGAGTAACCCTGGCTGGCGGACGCTCGCTCTCGCTCCCTCACTGTTTTGCAATAAGCCTCAGCACATTGCTCGCGGTGCCTTCATACTAACCAGCACTCACCCAACCACCGCTAGTACTGGTACTGCAGCCCGCAACCCGGGCTGCCCGCAATTACAACATTACCGGCCGTGACTTCGCAAGTCCCGGCACCACACAGTGACAAGAACAGTCACTACATTACCTCCCCCCCCCCACCTTACGTAGTTTCCATCCTGGCTGCTAAATCCCCCCAAAGCAAGCAACCGATGTAACTACCATAACAACCAACAAGTGTGCTCCAACAACATAACAAGGCAACCATAAATAACCCAACCCAAATGTACAATATATACACACAATAACAAGACAACAAAACAAGCAGTCAAACTGACAACCATTCATCGCATGGCGCAATGAATGGTTTCAGGCGAGAGGGGTGTACAAACCAGTTCCGCTTACCAAACCGAACCTAGACACATTAGGGTCTCACGACCTGAACGACATCAACCGGCCCTCTCCAAGGTTGCAGCAATTTAGGTGACGTGCCCACTGCCACCTGCGGACAATGCAACCAGGCCTTGTCGCCTGGCGACCAATCGCACAGGGAAACGCGGCCACCTTTGAGCCGCTCGTTGGTCAGCTGCCTGGCCCGAGAATTGACACTGGCGGCCTCCCACACCTCAGAAAGTTTACCCATTGTGCATCGAATCGCATCAGAAATTTGGGACACCTTCGGGGTGGGCGCGGCCTGCAACTGTACATCGATGGGAGGGTCATACTACCATACATCAATAGAAGGGAGAGAAGCCAGTGGACGCGTGCGGGGTCATCGTGTAAGCGGCAAGAACCGCAGGGATATGCAAATCTCAATCGACATGTGACTCGCCGACCAAGTGACTCAACATGGCGGTCAGAGTCCGGTGTAAGCGCTCTACCATGCCATCAGTTTGCGGGTGGTATGGGGATGTGCGTACCGTTTTCGTACCCAGCAGGTCGCAAACCTCACAGAGCAGCGTGGAATATTTTTTTTTACCTTGGTCCGTCTATAGATGCTCAGGACCCCCCTCATCCAGGACATAGCTATTCAGGAAAGCGTCGGTGATCGCAACAGCCGATTGATATGGGAGCGGCCAAGCCATAGGCCAGCACGAGAAATACTCGACGCCCACGAGTAAATATTTGTTTCCATGCGCCAAAATGGGAAGCGGCCCGAGAATATCGAGGGCAACAATTTCATTTACCCGTGACACCTGTATGGATTGCAGCGCCGGCGGCTTGCGCAGGGCACATTGCACACAGCCTTTAAGTAGATCCTCAATGTCGGAGGCCATGGCCGGCCAATAAAAATCCAATTTCAGCGTGACCAGCATCTTCTGCCCTCCGAGGTGCAACAGCCGTTTATGCACAGCCCACACGACCTCGCCCTGCAGGGTGGTAGGGACAACCACAGCATAACGGCGCAATCCTCCATCCCAATTCTTGAGAAATCCTCCCTGTAGCACGAACGAGTTCACCTCTCATGGTGTCTCACCATCAGCGGTCACCCTGACATGCCGGCGCAGCTTAAAGAGGGATTAATCCTCCACTTGTCGACGACCCCATACCTCATAATCAAGACTCAAGGAAGCATCACACACGACGGGGACATCGCCCATCCCCTCAATGGCGTTCGTGGCAGACGCAACGAGAGGGGAGGGGGAGGTCGAGCCGCATGGCCAACAGCGACCCGAACCAGAAAAACATGCGCACTCCCTGGGCGCTGGCAATTGCGAGATGGAATCGGCGTTCGAATGGCGAGTACCCTTACGATATGTGACATTGAATGAAAAGTCCTGTAGGGTTTCAAGCCAGCACAACAATTGGCCCGAGGGCTGGTCCACACACAATGCATACTGGAGCGCCACGTGGTCCGAGCGCACTTCGAAGTGTCTCCCATACAAATACAGCCAATACTGCTGCACGAACATGACAATGGCCAACAGTTCCCGACGCGTAACACAGTACCGCTGCTCCGCCGGAGACAGCACCCTGCTGCTATACGCAACCACGTGCTCCACGCCATTAATCATCTGAGATAACACGGCACCAATGTCAATATTACTGGCATCCGTGTCCAAGATGAACGACAGCGAAAAGTCGGGATAACGTAGGGGAGGAGTGTTAACAATGCCATCGTGAATGGAGTGGAACGCAGCCTCCTCCGCCTCCCCCCAATGAAATTTCTGGCCCTTGGCCGACAGGGTGTGCAGAGGTTTAGCAATGGATGCGAACCCCGCAACAAACCGGCGATAATAAGATGCAAAGCCAATAAAACTGCGCACCTCACTAGCCAAGGTGGGTGTCGGCCACGTCCGAACACAAGCAGTTTTCTCGGGGTTCGTCGCGATACCTGATTCGCTGACTATGTGGCCCAAGTAACGGACAGATTTTTGGAGCAGATGACATTTTTGGGGCTTGAACTTCAAGTCGGCGGTGCGCATCTTAACAAAAACAGCCCGCAGGCGATCCAAATGCTCATCAAACGTGCGGCACGAATCCCACTGTAGGCCTGCCAAAACCAATTCCATCAGTCTCTGAAAAGTGGTAGGTGCGGAATGGAGCCCCATTAGAAGTTGGTTGAACTCAAACAGCCCTTGGGGCGTCCAAAAAGCCGTCTTGGGCCTCGAGGCCTCATCAAGCGGCAATTGCCAAAACCCGGACAAAAGGTCGAGGGTCAAAAAATACCGCGCGCCTGCCAGAGCATCCAATGAATCGTCCATGCGAGGCAGGGAATAGGCATCCACGACTGACACCTTGTTAAGTTTACTGAAATTGACACAAGACCTTAGACTGCCATCGTGTTTCTTAACAAGGACTATCGGAGCTCCCCATGGACTAGTGGACAGCGAAATGCTATCCGCGGCCAACATTTCATCTACCGCCACACAAACATGGTCCTTCTCAGCCGGACTCAAGCGATAAGGATTCTGGCGAATGGGGGCAGCATTACCCGTGTCAATATGGTGGCTCAATAGAGACGTCCGTCCGATATCAAATTTCGACTTACTAAAAATGTCAGAAAATTACCGCAGGAGCGCCCTCAGATTCCGCGTTTGACCCGCGGTCAAATCGCCACATTCAGAACATAATTTGTCGATCCATGCCTTATCGACCACCGGAGGTCCGTGAGATCGAATGCCGACTCAGACGTTTCCCACAACATCCGCTTTCGGACACGCCGGGGAAGCGCGAGCTATCACAGAACCCTCTTGAATAATCGTAGTGTCAGATCCGGTGTTAAGGACCTGTATAAATGGCGGTTGGTCCTGAAAGACCAGCGTCTGCGCCGCAACCAGCGACATCCCCCGACTAATTTTATTCGAGGGACCAAGCACAATGCTGTCACTCACGGTGCGCACATCGAGCGGTTTTCGCAAACGAAGAGGAACTAGCATTTGCGCGCCGGGGGGGATCCGCATCGTGCAGCATGCAAGCGCCTGTACCGTAGCATTAGCAACATTAATGCCAGTCAGGGACGGAAGAAAGGCCATACACCGTCCCAACAGCAGATCCAAACATCCCTGATCGATACGAATTTTCAGGGGCATAATGCACAGAAAGTCAGTCCCCAGCAGGCACTGGACAGCCAGGGCCGTGGAAACCAACACGTGGCCCGACAATTGGACATCGGCAATGCACAGTGCAACAGAGATGCGGCCAATTATTCCCAACAAACT